AAAAATGAACGGCTGGCGGGAAAGTTGACATTTTAAACCTTAATAAAAAATCGATACAGGGCTTTAGAATATCGATACAGTATCGGGGAAATGAAATATCGCAATATTTCAGTGTATAGATATTTTCTTACACCCCTAGTTACTCGTCTGTGTGGGCCAAGTTTGTCCTAACCCTGACTGGTTGGGTTGACTTGGTCTTGTGGGGGAAGTTAAAAGATGAAGCAATGTAATAGTAAAATTATTGTGAACATGTAAACATAATTGTGAGCCATCGTATCGAAATGAAGGTTAAGTCAAATTTGGTCAAAATGACCTAATTACATTTTCAAATTCCTGGCTTTAAAAGCTACATAAAAATGTATATTTAAATTTAATATTTAGGTGTTTTCTGGCTGTTTTGACTGAGCTACACATCCTCCCAGCTGCTTCAGCTCCTTCAAACCCCACCCGAAATAGTAAATCTGATCAATCTCATCTTAAACAAACTCCCGCCACAAAACAAGAAACTCCCACTTAATGCAGAGACCACCTCGATAACTACGGCGCACACTAGGGTTGGGTCATCATCTGCAATTAGAGTTTATCAGCTAATAGATTTTTAAAGACAATATTTTCCGCTTTATTTAACCTAGCATAATGTTTTGTTCAGAAATTTGACCTGTAAATGACTGTACAGTCCAAACCTAAACCCCAACATGCTGTAATACACCCCAACTGTGTGCAGTCTGCCTCATCTGGCAGATATTAGTCCAGTCTGATGCTGACAGCTGAAGAAGACTGCTTCACTGATTAGCAAAGGTCTGCAGGACTTATTTGCTTAAAATTTAAGCAAATAAAATTTGTTAAATTAGCAACTATTTTGGTGAAAAAAATATTTTATAAACAAGACAAGACACAGTTAAAACATATTTCAAGAGAAAAACCAGGAAAAGTCAATAGGCAACCAAGGTTAAAAAACAAACAAAAGCAATTGCCACATATTTGTGATTTAAACCCTGCTTTAAATTTGAGTAATGAATTCTAATATCATTTTAAAATTAACCAAAACAAAGTTTAAGTGCAAAGAAATAAAACAAACTTATAAAAATCATGTCAATTTTATGATTAAGATGTGCTTTACATCAGCCACATATAACAAAACACATAATTTGTGTAAGAACCAAACAAAATCAAGTTTTCCATAAGGGTTTCATAWATAGTGGCCAAAATGTTGCACAGAGAAGAGACAAATCCTGTCTGCAMACCTTCTCAGTACAGGCAGTATTAGTTTCACTGGAGGAAATGCATACAGAAGTGCTCTGATCTGTTATGGAAAAGAAAAACAACAACAAMAACAACAACAAAAAAACAAGAGGGCAGTGGTGTGGGTCCTTGTGGCAAAGAGATCCACTGCAGCTTCGCCACACAGAAACTGTTTGATCCACCACTGAGGGATAATACCTCAGTTCTCTGACCACAGAACCACCTCTAGAGAGAACAAATCTGAACCCAAATTCAAATCTTTCAGGTAGACCAAAAACACATGTTGCCCTACTGCAATAGTGTGTCAGACAGCTTCAGCAGGGGAAATGGAACAAGTTCCTTTGTCTGTTTATATAGTATAGTTGTGTTAAAGGGRTCCATGATTAGTTGTAACATTAGACTTTATTTGATAAACATATATTTTAACTGTAAAATAAAGACTGTAAAAACAACGTCATATATTTTAACATGGACAGAGCTATTTTCTAAGCATTCTGGGTAAATTATGACATGGATATGTCCTTGGTGTGAGCGAGCTATATCCACCCTGAACGTTAATCTGGGATAATATCTGATGATCGACTCTTTTAAATGAAACCAGAGAGCGTTGACAGAGAGAAGGTAGAAATGACTCAGCCTGTAACTGAAAATATGGATGGAGGACAACAGAGCTGCTTCATGGAAGAAGAACCTCAGCTTAGCCTGTTAGCCTTTGCGCTAGCGCCGACACTATATTGCCATATATATATATTAGCTCTGTGCTGGCGCGACAAACTAACAAGCTAAACTGAGGTCCTCCATCCATATTTTCAGTTACAGGCTGAGTCATTTCTACCTTCTCTCTGTCAACGCTCTCTGGTTTCTTTTAAAAGAGTCGATCATCAGATATTGTCCAAGATGGTGGATATAGCTCGCTAGCAGCCTCGCATCGAGGACCTATCC